GACCCCAAGAGATTCATTCCTAAAGTGAACCAGGGCTCAGGGCTACAATCCTGAATGAGTCCACATCACACAGCACCAATGCACCCACAGTCAGCCATCTCCCGCCTCCCTAGCCCCAACAACGTCCAGATGCTCTGGACCTGTGACACTGCAAGCGCTTTCCTTTTGCAATTGAACACTCCAATCCAAAAGAACTTAGGAGCTCAGATTTCTACCTAAAAGTTTTCGCTAAACTCAAGACCAAACTCTAATACTCTCCAGTGGTAACTAGCTTTGCAGTCCTGCCTTCAGATGCCTTTAAACCTCTTAATCAGTAATAATTCTGGATTTAAGGAAAGACACTAGACAGCAGAACTCCCACACACCCTTCCCCATCTCCCCAGATCTCTCTAATCCTCCCTCCCTGCACCCTTTCCCATCTCCCCAGACCTTTCTAACCCTCCTTCCCCACCCCCTTCCCTGTCTCCCCGGCTCTCTAGGCCTCCCTCCCATCTCCACAGATCCTTCTAACCCTCCCTCCCCACACCCTTCGCCCTCTCCCCAGATCTCTCCAACCCTCCCTTCTGACTTCCTTCCCCATCTCCCCAGATCAATCTAACCCTCCCTCTCCCCAGATCTCTCCAACCCTCCCTTCTGACTCCCTTCCCCATCTCCCCAGATCAATCTAACCCTCCCACTCCCCAGATCTCTCCAACCCTCCCTTCTGACTTCCTTCCCCATCTCCCCAGATCAATCTAACCCTCCCACTCCCATGTCCCCAGATTTCTCTAGGTCTCCTTCCCCACACCCTTCCCTGTCTTCCCAGATCTCTCTAGGCCTCCCTCAGTGGCCATGCCCAGTTGTGGCTGACACTCACATCTCTCATGTTGGTCTGGACCACAGCCCGGTCCATGTTGTAGGAGGGCAGATTGGCCGTCGCCCAGAAGATAGCATCTCTATCTGGAGCTTTCTGTTCTTGCTTTTTCTACACAGAAAAGTAGTGAATGTCAGAAACGAACACACAAGCAATAAAAGGCAAGATTACATGAACTGAGCAAAGAGAGCTCCAACAAGGGAAAGAACTCATCATCAATTTCTTGGCAAGCTGGGGGATTCTGGACACTTCTGTGCAATGCCTCAGGGATGTGGCGCCAAGGACACGACTCCCACTTGCTGCAAACCAGAGTGAGGTGGGAAGGACAGACAGTGAGGTGGCCACCGATGACGCCACATGAGCTCCAGGGCAGGGGCAACACCGGGAACACCAACAGGCCCCATGGCTAACCCGAGGCCAAAGCCCATGCCTGCTTCTGCTCCTCATGAGCCCCCAGGGTGACAACAAATGAAGAAAGATAGAGAAACCACAAGGACAAAAGCAAACATAACTGGAAGAGGCAACTCATTCTCAGAAAGCGGTAGGGGATGGCTGACCAGCAGAACCACAAGGATTAAAGCCTGGAGCTGCAGAGCAGAGAGCATGCGAACCCCTTCCAACCTCCCAGACAGAATAGGTCAGAGGGTATGCAGTGGTCGGGCTCCAGGAGCACAGCACCCTCTACCGCCCTCCCCACAGCAGCAACTGGAACACTCAGCTTGAGACCGTCAAAGCAGGAGCCCCAGACCCAGCCAGGGAGAGCAGCACCTCCTGCACCCCAACAACAAGACCCCACCCAGGCTACTCAGTATCGGTGGCCTGGGCAAGAGGGCACAGATGACTGGGTCACCACCCACAGCATAGTCCACTCCAGCACAGCCATCCAAGCTCAGCACATAGCCAGTAGACACCCAGGGCCTCTTGCTGGCGACATTCACCCCAACAGCTGGTGGCCGTGAGGGATGTTCCACCATGACAGATGACAGCCAAAACAAGAGCAGGAAACGGCAAAGAAGCATGGGGAAGAAGCAGCAAGGGAAGAGGATGGTTTAAAAACCAGGAACTGCAACTCCATGCTAGACAAGGAACACTCTAGAATGCCAGAAAAAATAACCTGAGAGCCAAAATCTGCTTATGAATGCTTAAAATATGACAGCCAGACTGAGAAGGCTACAGAGGGCTGGATGCTGACATTGAGGGCCCTCCAGAAGCAGGCCCACCACCCACAAGCAAAAGCAGCAGGATGAGAAAAAATAAGGAGTGGGAGAGTCACCCAACACCCCAAAGCTGAATTCCCCAGAACCCAAACGTGATCTCCCAAGTTTGTGAGACCAGCACCAAGAGAAAGACCTGCATGGGAGGCATGGGAGCCCCAGGACCGTGAAGCACACCCAGAGATGGCCCCAGGTTTCAGCTGGAGTAGGGGAAGGGAGATGGGGTGCAGGGAGGACCACAACCAGAGCTGCCACAGCACGTGGGCACAGCAGTGCTCCCCCACCGGAATGCAAGCCTCAAGACTAACCGCCCTTGCTAGGTGCTAGAGGAAGCCGGCTCCACCAGCCCCAGGGAACAGGTCAAGAACAAGCCCAGGGTTCTGCGGTAGGCAGAAATGAAAGACAGCCCACGCTCCCTGCACCTGGCATCACCCCTGTATGATCACAGGGAGTGAGCAGGACAGTCCACACGGGGATTAGATTATATCATATGGCACAGCTGACCCAGGAAAGGAGTGGCCTTGGTGGGCCTGACCTAATCAGGCTCCTTCTGGTGAGACTCAACACTTAAGTTCTATTGTTGGCTCTGAAGATGGAGGAGACCACATGGCAAGGAGTGCGGGCTACATCCAGGAACAGAAAGCAGGATCTCAGCCCTCTGGACTCTGCTAACCACCTAGCAGAGCCTGGAATTGGGGTCCCTCCTAGAGCTTCCAGAAAGGAGTGCAGCCCTTGACACTGATTTTGGCTGAAGGCCATGAACAAAGCAGCTCACAGCCAGACGTGGGACCCCAGAACTGTGAGCAGGAACAGATGCTGTTTCAAGTGGCAAGTCTGTGGCGATGCTAGGTAGACAGAAACCTTATACAGGATCAGGGGCTCTAACACAGGGAGAGACAGGAAAGCCCAGGCTGTGCGCAGGCTGGGAAAACCACAATCCACACAGAAGCAGGGCCCAGAGGCATCTGAGGACAACCCCAGGAAGGGACAGCTAGTGACCTAACATGTGTGAGCACAACCGCAGAGATTTCGTCAATTCTGCTGCAGAACATGAAAAATTAGTGCTAAGCCTATAAAAACTCAGCAAGCAAAATGATGAAGCAATTACTAACTCCAGGAAAGACAAAGTTGTATGAAAAGGACAGATAATCTTCAACTACTTTGCTCACAGCAGAAGACAACATTTAATTTTAGTAGTAGCAAAAATCCCAAAATCTTCAAGCAACATTATAATCCAACATTCAAGGGAGGAAGGGGAGGGAAAACTGGGGAGGGGCTTCCTCTTCACTGTGATGCTAACAGAGTCTAAAGTTGGCCCTTTAGAAAGCACAACATACATGAATCATTTAGAAATCTACATGAGAGTTACCAAGGATCACAGATAAGAGTTAGGAGCTAGGAGACTACAGGTTTTTATTAAAAGACCTGTAGTAGTGACTTTTTTCTTTTCTTTTTTCTTTTGTTGGCGTCTCACTCTGTTTCCAAGGTTAGAGTGCAGGGCCATGATCATGGCTTACCACAGCCTCAAGCTTCTGGGCTCAGGCGACCTTCCCATCTCAGTCTCCCAAACAGCTGGGACTATAGGTGTGCATCACCACACCTGGCTCATTTTCTTATGTTTGTAAAGACGAGACGAGGTCTGCTGTGTTGCCCAAGCTGGTCTTGAACTCCTGCGCTTAAGCGATCCCCTTGCCTCAACATCCCAAAGAGCTGAGATTACTGGCATGAGTCACTGTGCCGTGCCTACAGTATTCACTTTTTAAATGCATATGTTATTCTGACTTAAAAATTAATTCATAACAATATGGGTTAACATCTTACACCATTCTGCAGATATGTGAAGAGAGAATGAGTTCCTCAAGTGAGCTCCACCGCACCCTGTCAGCCACCGTCCAGGAGCTGTGGTGACGGCTGTATGCTCAGATTCTGCTATCTGTGCCAGTTACGAGCCTGAAGTCCAAGTACCCACGGGCACAGCTGCAACCTGAGAACTGTGTCCTGTCTGCAGCACTTCCCAGAAACAGGCCTGACTCAGGGACAGGCAGAGGCAGGCCCAGATCTGTCCACTGCAGATGGGTGGGGCAGCCGCCTGTGTGCAGCCCACATGGCCAGGTGGGGCTGCAGATAAGGGGGGACCCAAGCCCAGGCGCTCCTCCTGCACCTCTAGTCCCAGATAATACCTGAAAATAGCCCAACTGCTATCAGGTACAGGCCCAGCCCCAGGAGAGTCTGGCCTGCTTTCCCTGGGCGGACACCCTCCCTGGCCTCTCAGGGCACGAGTGAGAAACTCTATCCCCACATGAGTCAAGAAGACAGAAAGGAAGAAGGTTGTCCTCCCAGCAGCACGGCTGCAGTCAGCACAAGTGCGAGCCACGTGCGTACAAGAGGTCATTACAGAACACAGTTTGCTCTGTGCAGAGATTCCTGAAGAATGAGCTTCCGGGGTAGCCATCTAATAGATGACGCTCTGCAAGGTTTTTCTAAGGTACGCAAGTTAAGTGGGAGATACAGACCATAAATCAGCCCAATAAACCCTAAGGACAGCCAATTCTGTCTTGCAAGAAATAGAGCAGACTGGAAAACCCAGCTCCTCTAAGAATGAGCAATACAGGTTGAGGACCCCTTATCTGAGTTGCCTGGGACCTCAGTGTTTTGGATTTTGGAAGACTTGCATAATACTGTTTAAACATCCAAAATTCAAAATCTGAAATCCAAAAAGCACCAGTGAGCATTTCCGTTGGAAAAAGCACCAGCGAGCATTTCCGTCATGGCAGCACTCAGAAAGACTTGGGTTGTGGGGCGCTTCAGGATTAGATTGCGGATGAAGGAGCCACCTGCAGGGAGCTGAGCTGAGGCCCGTGCTCCCTCCCCTCCCTGCACTCTAGTCCTTACTGTGTGTGGTCCAAGCTCCTCCATTCCCCAGTAGGACTGGTCTGGCTGCCTGAGGAGGGGAGGGACAGGAGTGCGTGTGGACTGAGCCAGACACAGCACAGGGTTAAACCACCCCTGAGTGTGCCCTCACTCTCCTGTCTGCTCCTCGGAACACAGAGCTGGTGTTCTGTGTGCTGGCCACCCAGATAGGGTCCAGGGCAGGGACCAGGACCGACGCTGGGTAGACAGCCTGGCCACAGCGGAAAACCCCAATGAGCAGAGCCACCATAACTATGCGAGCATGTGTCTGTAGACAACGAGCACGAAGAGCACTCTTCCTGCATCCCCAAACAGAGATTTCCAGCGACAATGTCTCTACCTGTAGCCCTGACCATCACCATCTCCTCCACACCTAAATGGAGACTTCCACCGTGAAGATCCCACCTGCAGCCCTCCCTCACCTTCTCTTCTGCCGAGACATCAGCCATCTTGGGGAGTGGCTCTGGAGCACGCTTTTTGATCAATAACAGGACATCTAGGAAAAACAACATGTATATCTGTCATGGTGGTTATCACCAAAGGTGCCGGGTGAGCTGAGAAGAGAGGAGAGGTGACCCCTGGGCCCCTAGCTGAGCATCCATACCCACCTGCCCTACCTTGGTTTTTGTGACATCTACATGGCCCTGGCTGGCATGCAGGTGACCGGTGGCCCAGGGGGCACACACGGTACAGCCCCAATACGTGCGCAAGGAACTGGCGAAAATCCTGTAAAATGTCCTCATCGCTATAGGCTCAGTTCTGAAAACCCATGAGGGAGGAAAGTGTGGTCTTAACCCTCAGAGCTAGACACCAGGTGCAGTTCATCCACAGGCCCAGTGGTGGGTCACCTCCCAGCTGGTTCTGAGCTTGATGATGACTTCTGGTATTTTCAGAACAGATTCCTTCATGGAATCCCAGATTTAGAGTCCCTACATGAAAGACACATAGAAAGCCAAGGTTCCTATCTCAAGCACCTCCCACACAAAGCTGGGGCAACGTGGCAGGTATGTGACAGGTCCTGCAGGTGCCCAAGGTGTTACCAGAGGGAACCTGTGGGGCTCTGGGCCTGAGCCCTGACTGAAATGGGCTGCAGGCGAAATCCAAGTGATGCCTCTGCGCATGGCAGATTTCTGCTAGCTTTCACAACTACTTGGTAACACAAATTTTTTTTTTTGTTATTGCCCAAGCTGGAGTGCAGTAGCATGCTCACATCTACCCCAGAGTCGACCTGCTGGGCTCCAGCGATCTTTCTGCCTCAGCCTTCCAAGTAGCCAGAACTACAGCCTGCGCACTACCACACCTGGCTAATTTTTTGATTTACTGATGAGGTCTTGGCAAGTTGCCCAGGCGGGTCTCGAACCCGTGGGCTCAGGCAATCTGCTCACCTTGGCCTCCCAAAGTGCTGGGACTACAGGCTTGAGCCATGACTCCTGGCAACACAACTTTTTAAATTAAGTAAAAATAAACCCACATGGGCTAATCTGCTTTCTGGCTCACGTCCAGCTCAGGGCACAACCCCAGCAGGGCCTGCTCATGTCTCTGAGCTGATAGCCCCTGCGACACCACCACAGCCCCCACAGTGCCTTACCTTTGTCTTGGATATTCTCCTCCAGGATGGTTTTGGTGTCGCTCAGCACCCTCTCTGAAGCAGCGTGTATTAACTTGTGCTGGGTTACACTTTTGGGGTCTTCCAGGCTCCCATGGGCACACTAGGGAAAAAACATACATTTCAAGATAGAAAATAAATCGTAATACCAATAATATAGAATCTAACAGCCTAAGCCACACCAGGAGTTTGCTGGTTTTTCTTATTAGCTAAGAAAGCGCAAATGAAATTTAAGAATTCCTATCACTAAGGGTGAACATCTAATGAAATACCACAACATCTGACCAGCGATCTGAGACCAACCCATGAAGGACTCCTGCAGCAGGCTCCAGCACTGACATACGATGTCCTACATATTATCACTGGCCCAGACTGCTTCTTTAGTCTGGAAAGATCTGGAAAGAAATTTTTAAATGAAAATAGTAGGTTCGTCGTTCCCAATGACCTAAAGATCTAAGTGTGTTTTGTGTACTTGTGTTTCCTTCTTTCACAGACACATGAAGGGGGTTGGAGAGACAGCAAAGAACTGTTAGAGAGAACAAGGAATCGGGTCCTGACCCTGGCACCTGCAATGTCCCCAGAAGAGCACTTAGAGGATGGGTGGGTCTCAACTTGGCTCCCAGTTCTCTAAGTGAAGGACATGCTAAGGTGCTGTCCGTAGCCCCCCTGGAATGGATGGGCACAGTTTTGTCTAAGTTACCAAGGTCCCGGAAATCTCGCAGCTCTCAGGCAGGGAAGAAGAAGGAGAGGGGGGCACCCAAGTCCTCACCTCTGTGAGAGCCATACGGGCAGCAGGGAGGAGCGTGCACGCCACAGCCACCCTCACACATGCCACAGCAACCTGTGACGGGCACTCCTGGCGACCTGGGACCCACCTCAACAACTCTAGGAGGAGCCTAAGCAGACACCTACAAGCCCTCCCAGCCCTGTAATTATCAGATGATCTGAAGCCCGCACGGCCAATGTTGGCAGGGAGCCTGGCAGACATGGCTCGTCATTCCAGTCGGATCCTCTGCAGAACCGTGCAGTCATCCTCCATGCACATGCCACTGCCCTGGGTCACAGAGGGTCTAATCTGCCTTCCTTTGGGCATGGCTGTCTGACTGCCAAGTGAGCTCAGCAGCCTGTGAAGACCTCAAGCACAGCTGTGAAAACCAAGGTGCGTGTGCCTCTGCGTCCACACGTGTGCCCACGTGTCTGTGTTCAGAGGTCACTCCCCTGAGTCTGCCTGAGTACCACCCAGCTGTCTGCTCAACACCATGCGGCCTACCCAGTCAAGTACGGCTCCCCCTCCAGGAGCTAGAATCACAGGGAAGTGGGGTTAACTTGCATAACTCAGAAAACCACAGATGCTTCTAAAGCCCGGGCTGAAAACCCTTCAAAACACAGAACTGGGGGAGGAAGGAGGGTAATCTATTTTCTTTCTCTCACTGGGTCCCTGAGGTCTGAGGGTAGCTCTCAGAAGCCCTCAGTGGGTGCTTTCTAAACACCTGGTGTGGCTCAGCCCACGGGTGGCAAGCAGGGCCTGACCTGGAGGGCTGTGGCACCAGCTGGTCCAGGACAGCCCCAGGGTGCCCAGCGTGCCAGAGTTCTCAAGGCTGTCCTCAGACATGCCCTGGCTGGACACAGGCCCCACTAGAAGCTTCTCTCCATCCCCTCAGCTCCCCTAGAGGTTCAGGGATGCTCAGCACACACCTGCTTACCAGAAGAAACGCCTAGGCCTGTTCTTCACCTCCCAAAACTCGAGACTTTCATTATTCTCAAGACTGAAAATGGTTTGTAGAAGGAATCACAAAGGCCCCAGGGGCTGTCACTGTTCACACAAAACTGGTGAGGCCTAGGAGCACGAGGTCAAACCTAGCCAACAGGAAGATGCATTCTTTCCACTTACAATGCAGCAGAGACCCAAGTTCCTATGAACTTGACAACAGCATTGCTCCCAGAAGCACTGGGTATGCCTCTTCGTAATTCTAAAATGTGCAGGCTAGCTGATTTGTCAAGTTCAGAATACAGTCCACAAAACACAACTTTTGAAAACAATTCTTATACTTATTCCCAAAACACCATACTTTATAAGGCGTCACTAGCACACCAGGAACAAACTGCAAGCCTGGGTCACCTGTGCCACCTACAACCCCTCAGTGTCCTCTTTTCTCAACAGAGGCTGGGGGTGGCAGTGAAAAAACCCCAACAAAGGCACTCCGGGCAGGAAGGTCCTGACACCCCACTACAGCCTCTTCCCCCCAGAAAGAGGTGATGTCGTGTCTGCTTATGCCTAATGTGACCCAACACTTGAAGTCACCTCTTCATGGGATCTAGGAATTCCAACGGCCATGCCAGCCAGTACTGTGTCTGTGCTGACAACAGACAGAACTTCACCACACCACAGTGTCACTGTCTAGAACTCACAACCACTCACCATACAAATGGCTTCCTCTGCCCCTTGTCCATAAGGGCCAATGGAAGCCAGAGACCTCCAACAACAGCGATGCATTTCTCTTAGTTATGCTCGTAAACCCCTCCTTCATACAGTAGGACACTCCCGGGAACACTAGGCAGGGAGCCTACATCATTCCTCTGCAGGCAGAGGGAAGAAAGGAAGAGAGAAAACATGTCCGCATAACATGTACCTGGAAGTAGGCAGGAGGAACACAGTTGAGACAGCAGTGTGATATTCAGGGACCAGTTCCCAGGGTGACATTCAAGTATCCAACTTGAGCATTCTCTTTTCTGACAAATGAATCCGACTGTCCAACTCTGACTGCAGACGGGATGGGACAGACAGCGGGAGCCTTTCTTTGTAATTCATGTCGCCCTCGTGGTGTGGACCCCTCCACCCCCACTAGATAGCCCCTCCACCCTGGGAGAGAGTATAGAGTGGAACACAATCTCAGTTGAAAGTAGGAAATGACAAAAGTCCCAAAGGACACGTCTCCACGCTGGGCGGGGCAGCACACCTCAGGAGTGGGACCGTCAGCATCATGCTGAAACCGGCATGTAGTTCACACATGCCTGATGCACTCCGGAGCGGTCCTGAAGTTCCTAAGTGAGTGTCTGGACCTGCCCAACTGCCCTCATTTCCTGCTCCCTTCCATCAGATGTTATCACAATGCTCCTGTGAATCCAAGCCAGCAGGGGGTTACACTAAATGCCACCCCATGCAAGCAATGCCCATGCTAGTGAAGTTGGGGTTGACAGTGTATTTCCATCACCTCTGTTAGTCCACACGTTTGTTTTAGCGGCCATGCTGAGCCTGACCCAGCACTTAGGGTTATAAACTCAGCCTGTGAGGAGCTTCTGTCTTGGTAGGGGAGGACACAGCACCTCAGGGAGTTTTCTTACAGAAACTCACACGACGAGACAAGCAGCAATGCCTGACTCTGACAGTCTGAACGCCACAGAGTCCCCACCCAGGCTTGGAGCTTACTGCTGTCCCAGCAGTTTTCCAACCAGCAAACCACACAGACTAGGCCAGAAGAAAAACAAGAAAGCCACCCAGGCACACCTGCCCTTGACCCTGCGAGCCCACAGCCCCTCCTAGACATGACCCTCTGAGGCCCAGACTTCAGGTAATTCACACCCATGCATTCCAGAAGGGGCTGTCAGTTACAGAACAAGTCACAGAACCACATTCGCCACAGTTCCTTGGAAGGAAGTACTTTGTGAGCAGATGCACAGCCAGAACTGGACACCTCTCCCAGGAGACCACACTCAGCTGTATTCCAACACAGCCAACCTGTCACCTGCAGGGCTGTAGCTCACATGGAGGACCCACTCTAAGGCTGTAGTCTCCTTCAACTTCCACTCTAACAAGAAAGCACAAGCCAAGCATAGAGTTTCCTTAGGCCGCAAGACAGACAGACCAACAGACAGACGTCTAGGCTGACCTCACAAAGTTGAGTTTAGAGATGTGAAAGCCTCAAGAACCAGTCCCAAAACTTAGCAACCTAAGAACTAACTACACAAGAAGTATTTCCTGGGAAGAAGCTTCTCAAAGCGTCTCTTGGCAAGAGGACTCTCCTCCTGGATCTGCCCACTCCATCAACCTTCCTTCTTCAGAAGAGCAGGGCGCAGCGGGGCTATCTTAAGTGACTCTAGCTAAGAGGCACAAGTGGTTGAGCCAAGCCCTGGCCCTGTGGCAGTTAACAGGAAACAGCTCCAGGCAGACGCTCTGCAGGGAAGGGGAAGGGGCCTCTTAGCCAAGGGTCCTACATTAACTCTCTGCTCTTGCAGGAGCTGCTGAAAAAGAAAAACTTCACTCCAGCAGCAAACAAGCACAAATGCTGCAAAATCTGCCTGCAACTTCACCTCTCCCAGCCTTAGTTTCCCCATCTGCCCCTACCTCCCAGAATAGTTGTAGTTGAATAAGAGAGGGCCTTGGAAAGCGCTTGGCCATTTGGCTGGCACTGGGCAAGTACTCAGGGTTCAAGGCAGAGAGCTGGGGTCTAGAAGGGAGGTCGATGAGAAAAGGGGCAGGGGGCACTGCCCCCATCCCGGGCTAGAACCTGGGAGCCACAGACTGGGCGCTGGACCCTGAGGTCGAGGTGGGCATCCAGAATTGGGGTGGGGGTCCGCAGCTGAGGTCGGGGTTTGGGTCGGGGTGCAGGGATGGGGAAGGCTGCGAGGTCAAGATGGGGGTCCAGATGGGAGTCAGGAATTGAGGTGGAGGCCCGCAGTCCACACAGATGTCTGAGGTTGAAGAGGAGGTCCGCACTTTTGACAGGGATACAGGATTGGGGTGAGGGTCTGCAGTTGAGGCAGGGGCTCCAGGATCGGGATGGGGGTCTGCCGTTGGGGCAGGGGTCCGAGATTGGGGTGAGAATTCGCAGTCAAGGCAGGGATGGTAGGGTGGGGGTCTGGGATTGAGGACGGGGACCGCAGCCGAGGCACGGGTCCAGGGTCGGGGCAGGGCTCCGGGATTGGGATGGGAGTCCGCAGCGAGACAGGGGTCCGTGGTCGGGAAGGGGGTTCGGGATTGGGGTGGGAGTCCGCAGCCGAAGCAGGGGTCAGGGGTCCGGGATTGAGGCGGGGATCCGCAGCCGAGGCAGGGGTCGGGGTCGGAGAGGGTCCCAGAGGGGGTCGCGGGATCCGGCCTTACCTGCTTGAGGCAGCGCTCCTTGAGCTTCTCTACCGAGGTGTCCTCGGTCGCCTCCTCCAGCCACTCGGCGCCGTCCGCCGCGCAGATGTGCAG